ACAGAGAAACAAAGAGCAAACTGCAAAGTGTGGTAACTGCAAATTTTGTTATTTAGTTAAAATTTTACAATTATATTATTATTATTATTATTTAGTAAAATTGTTTTACCGAATTTGAATGTATTTAATATTGAAACTGATTCTTACTTTTAAAGTGTTTTGTTTTTAAACTGTAATGTAAATAATGTAATGTAACATTATTATTGCAATAGATCACTATATAGGTATGTTTTTTCTTTTTTTTCAAAGAAATATATTAATGTAATTGAAAAGTATTGATCCAATACTCTTTTCCTTTTTTGTACTGTAATATTTATTTTTACTGACATGATTACATATACAAAGTTCAGTAAAAGAATATTTTCACCGTCTGCATTTCTCTGCTGGCCATTATCGTTAGTATTATTCATTGTATTTCATGACTGTTATTGAAAATGATGTTGTCACTTAGAGGAGGTAGGTTCTCAAAAATTATCTGTTCAGAGTGCCAAATGAGCTGGGTAGGCCCAGGTGTACTGAAGAAGAGCTAGAAGGAGGCAGACAGAGGTGGGAATGCTGGAAAGGATGAGGGAATGGACTTCACAACACCCTCTGTGCAGAGGCAGCCCGGCTCATTCCACAAACTAGAAGAGGCCGGTGTGGCTGGAAACTGGCTTAAGATAGAGAAAGCAGGAGAGGCGGTCAGATCCTCGAGCAGGGGTCAGACCAACCTTGGCCTGGTCGGCCAGTGAAAGTCTGGTGTTTATCTTGAGAGTAATGGAGAAACCACTAAACAGTTTTAGGAAGGGAAGAGACACATTCAAATTTGTGGCTGGAAAATACCATCACTCTGGCTTCAGGGAGGAGAATGGAATGGAAGGAGGGTGCAGGGACCAGAAAGGAAGCTGGGCAGATAAGAGATGATGGTGGCCTGGACTGGTGGGGTAGCAGTGGTCAGCATCTCTCCAAGAACCTCACCATCTACCTACTGCAGTCTGGACTGAACAGCTCAGTGGTGAGCCCAGCCTTGACCTCCTGTGGCCTGCAAGGTTAGACTCTGGGGCACCCTTTTGAAAGGACTCACGGTCACCTGCACTGATGACCACCACATCTCAGTGACAGTCTGGACTTTTGAGTTTTGTTTTCCAAAATTTTACTTCCTTCTCTGGGCTCCTGCAGGAATTTGAGTGCACTCCTGATACAGCACTGACTTTAATTCATTCAATAAATATTAATTGAGCGCCTGCTGCGTGCCAGGCACTCTCCTAGGGACAGAGCAGTACACAAAACAGACAAAAACTCTGCCCTCTTGGAGCTGACATTCTAGTGGAGAGGAGATGGGCAAACAACAAGTGAACAAATAAAATACTCCAGAATGTGGTAAGTGCCATGAAGAAAACAGAAAGGGCCATGAAAGAGAATAATGCAAGCAAAAATTAAGACATCTGACAGTATCAAACCTTGGATAGGACGTAGATAAAGAGAATCTCTTCTATGTTGCTGGTGGAAAAGTAAATTGCTACAACTTGGAAGTTTGGCATTACCTTGTAAAAGTGGCCAGTCACATGTCCCCGGATGCAGGCGTCACGTTTTCCATGGTACACCCGGGAGACTTTCCTGCACTTGAGCACCAGGGACTATCTAGGATCACTAACAGTAACACTCTTCATAAGACCAAAAACCTGGCAATTATCCAAATGTCCATGGCCAGGACAACAGACAGGAAAAGTGTGGTATGTTCCCACAGTGTGAAAGGACCGAACCCCACACAGGTGCAATAATTTATTTTTATTTATTTATTTATTTATTTATTTTCCCCCCAAAGCCCCAGTAGATAGTTGTATGTCATAGCTGCACCTCTTTCTAGTTGCTGTATGTGAGACGCGGCCTCAGCATGGCCGGAGAAGCGGTGTGTCGGTGCACGCCCGGGATCTGAACCCGGGCCGCCAGCAGCGGAGTGCGCGCACTTAACAGCTAAGCCATGGGGCTCGCCCAGGTGCAATAATTTAGACAAATCTTAGCACTAAAATACTTAGTAAGTAAATACTGGAATATTACATACAGCATGGTACCCTTATGATAAAGCTAAAGGCAAGAGAGTATATATACATATATACTTTTTGCGTGTGAGGAAGATCAGCCCTGAGCTAACATCCATGCCAATCCTCCTCTTTTTGCTGAGGAAGACTGGCCCTGAGCTAGCATCCGTGCAGATCTTCCTCCACTTTCTGTGGGACGCCGCCACAGCATGGCCTAACAAGTGGTGCCTTGGTGCACACCCAGAATCTGGACCGGCTGCCAGCAGCAGAGCCCACGCACTTAACCGCTAAGCCACAGGGCGGGCCCGAGAATATATTTTTGAGAAAACATATTTTTAAAAGTAAGAGAAAGAAAAAATTGGACTCCTCATACATTGCTGGTTGGAATGTAAAATGGTGCAGCAAATCCATTGAGACAGAAAGGAGATTAATGGTTGCCTAGAGCCAGGGGTGAGAGCAGAGGCAGAGGAGATGGAGAAGCGACTGTTAATGAGTACAGTTTCTTTTCAGGATGATAAAAACATTCTAAAATCGATTGCAGTGATGGTTGCACAAATCTGTGAAGACGCCATTGACTTGTACACTTTAAATGAGTGAGCAGTATGGTATGTGAATTATATCTCAATAAAGCTATGTTTTTAAATAATGTATGGGAAGATTCAGGATAGACATCACCTCAGGTGAGGGAAGGCAGGGGATGGAATGGGAAAGGAGTTCATAGGGGAATGCCGGTTGTTATCAATGTTCTAGTTCTTGTGTTGGGTTGCTGATTTCACTGGTTTTTATTATATCATGTATAAATAAATAATACAAATATAATATAGTGAGTCAATCACAGACAATGAAAATGTGTCACAGACAAGCAATTCTGTGCACCTGAGATGTAGGGGACAGGTGGGCAACAGCAGAGGGTGGTCAGGGCAGGGCTCTCTGGAGAGTCCATCTGAGCTGAGGCTAGAATGAGATGGGCCAACCTTGTGGGGATGGGGATGAAGAGTTTTCCAGGCAGAGGAGACAGCATGTACAAAGGCCCTGAGGTGGGCCCCAGCCTTCTGTGTTTGAGGAACATCCAGCAGGCCAGAATGTTGAAATAATAATAATAATAATAATAGCAGCTACAGGGCCAGAATAAGACCTTTGACAGGCCCTAAGCACTGAAAAGATGGTGGTGCCCATCATATGTCATTTAAAATAAAACAAATATTAAATGGGAAAAGTGTAAAAGTGTTAGAAAATTCAAAAAAGCTTTTATTTTTCCCACGCTCACTACTTTGATACCTTTTTTGGAATGTTAAATCCATCCCCACCCCGCCAATTTTTTTTCTTACTATGTTGGTGTCTCTACGTTGTTGGTGTCCTGAGTCCCAGATAACTAGTATCTATCGAGCCTTTACTAGGTGTCAGGGGTGTATTTAGGTATATCGATTATCCCACTTAATTTGTAAAACCACCATATGAGGGAGAAACTGTTTTTGCCCCATTTTAAGGATAAGCAAAAGGAGTCACGGGGATATGAATATAGGGATTGACTCCATCGAGCACTGAAGCGGCCAGGCTGCCGTTATGAAGGTTCAAACTCTGGAATCTCAAGATCTCAGCGTCCAATAAGTCGGCGGAGGAACCATTTGGTCGGGAGCAAGGCCTTCTCCTTCCGAGTGCCCTGTGCCTTTAAGAGTCGCCCCCTCCCGCCGGCGATGCTCCAATTTCCCTCGCGGGCACCCTGAACATCACCCCGCCCCCCGCGTCTGCGGAGACGGCACCACAACCCTTCCTCCCCGCCGCGCACCCTCCGCCCGCCAGTGGTGGGTAAAGTCTACCGGCAGGGACTCGTACCCTCCGTCCGGGACAGTGCCCCCTGAGCCCCAGCAGAATGCCACTTAAGAGACCCTAATCCTGACCCCTCCCTGCTCCTAATTTCGAGGGACGAGGCCTCAGTGCCCCCTCCCATCGCCTGGGCCCACGGCACCGTGAAGGTGACCTCCCCCAGGGGTAGCACACGCCCGGCGGTGCCCGAGCGGGCTCACACGTGGTGAGCGGGGAGCGCGCAGCCCCTCCCCGCCACGCGCCGCGGGCAGGCGTCGCGGCCACGCCCCTTGGCCCGGCACCGCCCCCGTGCCCGCACACACATCTCCAGATCCAGGAGGGGCGTCGCGCCCTAGTCCCGCACCAGGCGGCCGCGGTGTGGGGCGGGACCTGGGAATGGGGCACCCACGCATCCTCGAACCTCGGCCCAGCACTGTGAAAAGCGAGAAGTCTGCCCTGCTCAGGATCCTCGGCTGGTAGGCGAAGTGCCCCGGCCCTTGCGTGCACTGAGCAGGGAAGAGAGAGCTGGGACCGCGAGCGTACGATTCGAGCCCTAGTCTGCAAGTCCTCGGTGTTTCTTGTCTGGAAAGTGGGCGTCGTATTCCCTTCTTTCTCAGGACTCTTGTGGCCCTTCAAACGAGATAAAAAAATATGAAAGGGATTCGTTCTTTGAGTCCAGAAGCATTTGTTGAGCTTTTATGTTGCTGGACCCTCTGCGTACTAGGCAGGGGCTACATCTATGACACGATGAGTCTGTCACCTTAAGGAGCTTTTCTGAGCCAGCGTCCCCCCTCCCCCATTCTGTCCTGAGACGGTCCAAAAAGACGCTCTCGAAAGAGGAGAGGGCGGAGGTCCAACCTGGCGGCAGGTGTCACTGAATAAGCTAAAATTTCAAAGGCAACGCGGGGCGGGGACAAGCTTTCAGAGGCAGATGGGAAGCACGTTCCGCGTCCCCCACCCTCCCTCCAGTCCCCAGCCTAAGAAAAGAAACCGACTTCATCCTACACCCCCAATCCCAGCCGCGAGACCGCCCAGCCCCGCAGCCCGAGCCCCGCCCCGCCCCGGCAGCCAGCGATTGGGAGATGCAAATACCAGGTTCTCTGCCCAGCAACGGGTGACGCGCCGCCCGAGCGCGAGGCGTGGCCCGGCCGCAGCCCAAGCGGGCACCTCGGTGTTTACACGGGGCGGCCCCGCGCGCGCCGCAGCGGCCCGCAGACGGCGAGGGGGAGGGGTGGCGCGCGCGCCGGCGGGGCCGCGCGGGGAGAAAGACATTGGAAGGCGGCAGGGCGGGGAGCGGCGCGCGCGGGCCGCGGCGGAGCAGGAGGCTGCAAGGAGAGCCCGCGGGGGCCCGGGGGGTGCGATTCCTCCGCCCCCGCAACACAATGTGTGGAGTGCAGCGGGGCGCAACTTGCCGGAGGCGGCGGGGGCGCGCTGAGCCCGCCTGAGACCGCGCCGCTGACCTTCTCCCCCCGCCGTCCGTTGGGCCCGAGCGCCCAGCTCCTCGCTCCCCAGCTCGCGGGGGCCGGGCCGAGCTGCGGGGCGGGGCCGCCCCTCCGTCGCTGCTGCCTCCTCCCCCACCTCCAGCCGCGGAGGATGCGGACGGCCCCCGGCGGCGTCTAGCGGCCCCGGGCCCAGGCGCGATGGTGCAGCAGCGGGGCGCGAGGGCCAAGCGGGACGGCGGGCCACCGCCCCCGGGGCCCGGGCCGGCCGAGGAGGGGGCGCGGGAGCCCGGCTGGTGCAAGACCCCGAGCGGCCACATTAAGAGACCGATGAACGCATTCATGGTGTGGTCGCAGCACGAACGGCGGAAGATCATGGACCAGTGGCCCGACATGCACAACGCCGAGATCTCCAAGCGCCTGGGCCGCCGCTGGCAGCTGCTGCAGGACTCGGAGAAGATCCCTTTCGTGCGGGAGGCGGAGCGGCTGCGCCTCAAGCACATGGCGGATTACCCGGACTACAAGTACCGGCCGCGCAAAAAGAGCAAGGGGGCGCCCGCCAAGGCGCGGCCCCGCC